GGCGCGGCGGGCGCGCTGTGGACTGAGGCCCGCGAGCAGGCCCTGTGCGGCCCGGGCCTGCGCAAAACCAAGTACCGCAGCTTCCGCCGGCGGCTGCTCAAGTTCATCCCCGGACTCAACCGCTCCCTGGAGGAGGAGGAGAGCCAGCTGTAGGGGCGGGGCGGGCCGGGACGTATTTATTTATTTATTCCTAACAGCCAGTGCAAAAAGGGGGGCGGTGCCGGGCCGATGGGACCCCAGGAGCCCAGAGCAGCGGGAGAGGGGCTTTGCTAGCTAGCCCCCGCCAGCCTGGTCGGCCGGGCCAGTGGGGAGCCCAGACCCTTCTCTCCTCCTCTCCTACACCACAGTGGGGGCAGGGGGAGAACCAGGCAATCGGTGTTGGGAAAGGTTTGGGGGCTAAAGATGGGGCGTGCTATCCTACAGTCTGGGTCAGTAGTGCCTTGTGGGTGTACAGGAAAACTCCCCACTGGGGGGTGAGAGACCCTGTCCCACGAAGCCCTCTCCTCAGCTTTACTTGCTCCCCCAGCCTCAGCCTTGGGGAGAAATGGCCCATGGTCGTTCCCCCACCTACACACACACACTTCCAGTGAAACACACACACACACACACACACACACACACACACACACACACTCTTCCAGTGAACCAGTGGGCCCTCAAGGGGGCATAAGGTGCTGGTCCCCCTCCCTCTGGCCTTGACCCCTAAGGGCTTGGCCCCTCCAAGGGGCCTGTAACAAGCGGGGTCCTGCAGGGCAGGGGTCCTGGGTTCTGTGCCCCTTGGGGGACAAGAACAGGCATGTTCAGGGGGGGTGGGGGCAGCACAGACTGCTCCACCGTTTTGCATAGTGTTGCTTCTGAACCACAAGCTGTATAAAGTTGAGGTTTTTTGCATCTGTGTCAGCGTGGTGACTGCCTGAGGGGGAGGATGGGGCCGGGACAAGCTCTGACTCCACCGCGAACTCCCCTCCAAGCACACACTATATTTTACATCTTCATTTCTTGCAGCCTGAAGCCAGGGAAACAGTCTGGGAGATTTTAACTTGCATGTTTGGGCCTGAACGAGAGGCCCCACACCCTCTTCAGAACTCGAGCCTCTTGTTTAAGTGCATCTGGAGCCTCTCTTCCCAAATACCCACAACAGGTGGTGGCCAAGGCTTGTCTAAAGCCCCTAACTGTCCCTGTGGAAATAAGTATGCTTGGCACCCCGTCTCCCAATGTCTGAGGTCTCCCCGAGGGGCAGAAACCAGACAGGTCCAATCACAGATCACTCCTTTGTTCTAGAACTCCTCAGCAGTTTCCCAGTACTAGCATGGGATTCTGACTCCCTGTGCTGTGGCATCTGCCCTCGGCCTGCCTCACGTTCTCATCTGGCCTCCTGCTGCCTGCTGTGGCCGCGGGCTGCTGCCTGTGCCTGACACACTTCCGACACTCTTACACTTATTGGGGTCCTTGCACTTGCTCTTCCCACAGTTGCCTCCCTCAGCACTCAGTTCTGCCTCCCAGAGGCCTTCCCACCCAGTCAAAAATACAGTCACACCTCCCTCTGTGTCAGAGCCCCGTTTTATTTCCATCACTGCCTGAGATTGTCTTGACTTTTATGGGCTTTGTTTCTTGCCTGCCCTCCCCACCCATTAGGATGTACGCTCCTTGTGGCAGGGCTCAGGTACCTTTTCTGTCTTATGGCTTTATTCTTGCCCGATACTAGTGCATAGTAGACCTCGATACAGCATGTGCCAAAATAATGTGTGCCAAAGCATCTTCAGGAGGTGGTCGCCACCTTCTTTGAGGTAACCCAGGGCAAGTGACCTATCTAGGGTGTTGGGAAAATAGAATAATTTAATCAGGCCCCCCTCGCCTTAGGTATGGTTGGGAGTGGTGCGGCACATTCTTTGTAAGCAAATCGCGTGTGTGTGGGTGGAGTTAGTGTGCATGTGCAGCGCCACAGCTTGGCTGACATCTGCCTTTGGCATCTGCATGCGTGGCCATGCTCTCAAACCTGGGGCTCCAAGGACCTTTTTGCCGGTTACCTAGCTCATAGACCTGTGTGTGAGGAGTATGGGGACCCAGCCTGGCATGTGAAGGGTTTGTGACCCAGTCTGTGAACGGGCTTGAGGGGTCTGTGAGCTCCAGACCCAGCCCTAGCTCGACAATTGGCCCAGTCGGCAGGATTACAGTCAGGTAAAAGAGCACGACATAGGGTCATACAGTGAGCTAGTGGCAGCGCTGGGCCTGGGATTTGAGATTCCTTCTCTAGTGCTCCTCCCACCAGTCAGCAGCATATAAGCAGTGGCTTTAAGAGAGGTCTAAATGGACCCTCCCTCCCCACCAGCCCACCTGCCCACCCTCTCCCTCCTGCACTACTGTACCTGCCCCCTGGTGGGTTCCCTGCTTCCTCTCTTGCCCCAGCAGTCAGGGCGATCTTTTCAAAAAGGAAATCAGGTCACAACCCTCCTCTCTTAAAATTCATTATTACGGCTTCCTCTGGAATAAAAGAATAAAGTCCAAACTCTTTACCCTGGCCTATCCATATCACATTGTCCTGGGCAGTAAATTACAAAAAGGCATCCCTTTTTCTGGGTTGACAGCAGCCACACAAGCGCAACAATTTGGCAACTCAGAGCCTTTGTGCAGTGCCCAACTACTGCAATTATATTGGGATGCCCTGCATAAGACCCTCCAGGGTCTGACCCTGCCTCTCACTTCAATCTCAGATTGTTTCTCCTTCCATGTCACTTATTATCTTTAAGCCTCAGTATTCTTTCTGTTCCTGTTCCTCAAATATGCCAAGCTCTTTCCTGCCTCTAGCCTTTGCTCAGGCTGTTTTCTCAGCCTGGAATACTCTTCTTTGCAAGACCAATTCCTCCATCCTCAGGTCTCAGTTTAAACATCACCTCCTCAGAGAGGTTTCCCCAGTCTGATCTAAATTAGTTCCCTGTTTTCCATTATTCTTTATCTTGAATTCCCTATTTTTTTTCTTTATAGCACTTTCTCTCAATTGTAATTATACCGACTTCTTTTGTATTTGTCTTTTGCCTTTGTGAGGGCAGGAACCCCAGCCTTGTTTAAAGTTGCACCTCCAGAGTCCAACACAGAGCCTGGCACATAGTTGGTGCTCAATAAACGTGCTGAATGAGTGAACGCCTCCTTGGGGTTAACTCTGCATGGGGGTAACCACCACCTCTCCACATTTCAGCCCTGGGGGAGGGGGTGAGACAGCACCTCCTCTGCTCCATCTGCAGCTGACATCTGGGGGCTCCTCACAAAATCCCTTTGGGACTGGGTGGTGGCTCCTGCACCTGGCCACCCTGGCCTCCCTGGTCCTAAGAAGGGAGGACAATTTATTGAGAAAATGGAGCTTCCCCAAGCTCCCTGTTTGAACAGCTGCTCTGCAGTGATGACAGATATCAGCTCCCAGGGGCTGCAGTCTAGGGGAGGGGACCTCTCACACCTTTGTTCCCAGAGCCCAGGGCTGCTAGGAGAGCAGCTGCCTGGGCATAGCCTAGCACCTTACTGGGAGTGGGAGGCTGCAGGGACCTCCCTGGCTTTCTCTTCCCAGAGTGGATTCCCAGACCCTTTCCACCAGCCTGTCTTCATCCCTGCCATGCAACTAGTCTTGGGACTGATGTCAGTACCCCCTTGCCCAGGCTGATGAGGCTTCTGGCTGGCCATGTGCACCCAGGGGAGGGTGAGGGGCGCCCAGGGTGGGGCTGGATCCCACCTCTCAGCTGATGGGATGACAGCACTAGCACAGCAGCCTCCTGCCGTGTAGGTGGGTGACAGGGAATGACTAATGTGCGAGCTGCGATGCTAAAAATTAACCCAGGGATCGTGTTTGGTGGAGGGGGTGGGGGTGGGTGGGAAGGGAGCAGGGACTCGGATCACTGTGTGGTCGGTATTCCCCTGGGGTACTGAGGCCAAAAAAAAAATCTATATTTAAAGAGAAGACACTACGTAATAACTTCGTATAGCATACATTATACGAAGTTATACGAGGAAGGGAGCAGGGACTCGGAACACTGTGTGGTCGGTATTCCCCTGCCCTGCCTCCCCTCCTTCACCTCCCACCAGCCTTCTGCTCCTCTCAAAGCCTCAGGCCACTCTGTGGGAGTCTTTCCTCCCCCCAAGCCAGAAAGGGCCCTCAACAATTCCAGGACAGGAGAATGGACTCTATTCCAGGTCTCATGCTTGGTGAGGTGAGGACACAGCCCTGCACAGGGAGTTCTGATCTGAAGTCCCCACAGATCCCCGCATCCTGGGGAGATGGTGTCTTAGTGTCCCCGAGTCCCCTGGTCCTGTCTCCTCTGCCTGTGGGAGGAAGCAGAAGCTGCCAGTGCACAAAGACAAAGGCAGGTTCCAGTCAGTAGGCCAGAGTTGAGGGGCAGGAGGTGGCAACTGCACCAGAGGGAAAGGATAGGAGACTTTCTCCCAGAGCACCCACTGTGCGCAGCACTTCCACATCCAGCACCTCACTTAGGCCTACGGTATCTCTGTGCTATGTATGTCCCCATTTTACAGATGAAAAAACAGAATTAGAGAGGTTAAGGGAGCATAGCTGGGACCCAACAGAGCTAGGATTCTCTCATATCTGTTTGTCTCCATAGCCTAGAGTGTGGAGAGGGAAGGCTTCCTGGAGGAAGGGGTGTGAGGATGGGGTTAAAGAGGTGGTGAGGAATAAGTTCATCCTCTAAGGCCATAGAACTCACTTGTGGAAGAAGAGGTGGGGGTGTGGAGGGTATATGAAAGGTGGGACCTGAAAGAGCAGGTCTGAGATGTGCTAGATAACAAAGGGAGGAGGAGATCAGGTCCGAGGGGTCAAGCTTCCACGGATGTGGACGTCAAGGTGAGGACATTGCCATCAAGCAGAGGAGAGGGGAGGGCTCTTGGGACTTGGTTCTGGGGACCAGAAAAAGGCCTTGGGCTTGGAGAAGAGCTTTGTTGTCACGTGTAAGAAAACTTGCTAGAAGGAGTGAACCCACGAATATTCCCATTTTCTCTGGAGACCAAACCAGAGAACTTGAGCTGAATGGCAGCAGGAGGAGAAGAGATGAGACTGTAGAAGGCACTTTCTGCTCACCAGTCAGTCACTCATGAAACTGGGGAGGTGAGGGAGGCTGTGGGAGTCCCCAAGGTCAGGACAGACGTCAGGCTATTGATTGGGAGGCTGCCTGGTCTTGCTTGACGGGTGGATGCAATGACCTGAAAGAGTGAGTGATGGGCAAGAAGGAAGCGAGAGAGAAAGGAACATCGGGCTATGGAGAGGACGGGACCAGGGAGGGCTGCTCAGTAGAGTCAAATAGCTAGAGATGAGCTGCAGGCAAGTAGAGCAGCCACGTTGCACCACTCTGAGCCCTGACCGTGCACGGTGGAGAGGGGCAGAGACAGGCCTCCGCCATCAGCCAGTGAGCTATGAACAGCCTCTCTCCCTCCTTAGAGCCCACCTCTGCAGCCCTTCCTCAGTCGTGCTCCACATTCTTACAAAGTGGAGCCTCCTTGGAACCCCATAACCCTGTATCTGAATCACGTGACACTCTCCCATCTCATCTGGTCCCCAGTGCCTCTCTTCACCCCCCACTGTTGGCTCACCAGGGAGTGAACCTCACCCATTCACCTCTGTGACCTGTGGCTGGCACAGGCCTGGCCCTGAGAGGACATTCAAACAGCACTGATTGAAGGCAGGTATGTCCAAATGAATGAATAAACAGTAAATTCAGAATATCAAACTTAATTGATTTCAACCAACATAACTCCTGTGCAGAACCCTGCCTGGTCCAAAAGCTGGTGGACTGGGGTGAGGGTAGGGGAAGCACCCTTGCTAAACTGCAAGACACATGAATTTTTGCTGAAGGGAGGCCTCCTAAACCTTAGCGAATCTTCCCTTCCTGGAGTCTGACCT